TTGTGACCAGTCCAGTGTGACCCTGAGAATGTTACATCATTTCTTGCCATATTCTATACGGAAGAGGTGCTGACCCCCTTTCCAGGATAGCAGAGAGGGTTAACACATTAATGATGGCATTGCATTTTTCAAGAAGCCAGTTGATAATGCTCTTAGGTTTGACAGCTGAGAGGAATGCCATGATTAAGGATCAGTGGCCTCTGTGGAGTAAGCTAAAACCCATTGTAGAACATTAACAAACCCATAAAGCCCCTCAGTGTCACCACACTGCACAGGCTTTTCCAACAGGCCTCGCCTTCCCAGACAGGTCTGTCTTAAGGCGTTATTTGGGATAACACTGCTAGCAGAGATGTGCCTAAAGGATTTTATTCTCAGCAGTTGAAATGATGCTTTTGCTTGTTTTTCTTTAATTTTTACCACGTTTTTGTTTACATATGTGTATGTGTTTGTACACACACATACCACAGTGTACCTGTGGAGGACACAGGACAACTTGTAGGACTTGGTTCTCTCTTTCCATCATATGACTCTCAGGGATGGAACTCTAGTCCTCAGGTTTAGCACCTTTACCCTTTGGACCATGTCACTGGCCCTGGTGTTCCTTTACACTAAGCATTATTTTACTTAGGCAACTTTGGCAGTTTATATGACCAGATACAGGTGTTTATAGGCATTTTTCATTCTTCCCTCATCATGATAGTGTTAAGGACTTGAAAAGGAGCTCAGCATATATACCAAGTGTCAGATTAAAAAAAAAATCCAGGAATAACAAAACATTCTATTATTTAATCACAAACTGAAAGTCTGTAGCTATAGGGAAAATCTAGACTCTCAGTGATATAGACCTCTAGAAATGTGCAGGCAGAGCGCCCGCAGCCACAGGCCTTCTTTGCTACGCTGGTAGCATCAGTCAGAAATTGAATTTAGAACGGGAGGGAGAGCCCAAGATGCAATTACTGCAATAATGGGGAGAAAAGCAGAGGCATGCTGTTTCAAGCTATTTTTGCCTTTTTCATTGGAAATACAGCAGGCATTTGTATATGGTAAAGCAAAGAAAACAATAATAACCAGATGGTAAAGGTACAATGAGAAACTCTCATTACTCCTAGCTGCTGTTAAATAATCGCTGAATGATTGAAATGTCACTGGAGCTGCCTACAGAAGCTGGCAATCCCCAGTGTCAAACATTGTGTGCACTTGGGTGCTTCTGTCCTCTATAAGGGTGAGGTTGGAGTTGTCCAGGTTTTGTAGCTCTTGTTTGGTACAGTCAGAAATAATATTTCCTGATGTTTATTAGTGCCATGAGAAGCTTGGAGAAGAAGAAGACCGGAAGGTGGCTATGGATATTACCAGGGATATTACCTTTTTAACTCAAACAGAATTAAAAGGTGTTTTTTTGGGGGGGGGTGGGACTGTTGTTTGTTTGTTTGTTTTTAGCAGTTTTTGCCTGTTATCGGGTTATAGTAAATAAAACAGTCACTTCATATTAGTCTCTTTTCTCATGTACAAAAACGATTTGATCAGTCAGGATATGCAGTAATAACAAGCAATTCCAGATACCAGCTATCTTACTAGTAGCTCATAGAGGTAGGTGTGTGTGTATGCTTGTGTGTGTGTGTGTGCTCATGCCCCTCACCTAGACCCAGGTTTATGAGCCATATCTCATCTGGAAAGTTGGTACTCACCATGATCCAGAGAAGGACATGGTAAATCCTACAAGAGTTCGTTAATGATAAAATAGTGTGTATTTACTCATCTCATTAGCCAAAACAAGTTCCAGGGCCTATATTAGCTTCAAGAGGGAGGGGAAGTACAGCTGCACTTTGTGCACGGGAGGCAACAATACACAAAGTATTGGTGAAGGCCCTGCTGGCCACCTCAGTAGGGTTGCTAATGTTTATCTTCCAGGTGGAGCCCCACAGACACTAACTGTGGGAGAGACAGAGACACCGTTTGAAAGAGGATTATGTGAATGGATTCATGAAAACCTGAGTGGATCTTTTGATGTTATAAAAATCATTTTGAAACTTGTTTTTCAAAGAAATGAAAATGAATGTACAATGTAATGAAGTTTGTTGGGGTATAGCGAAAACAATGTTAAATGGAATGCTTATAATAAGTTATGCCTATATTTTAAAAAGAGAAATCTCAAACCTCTCACTGTATCTCAAGTTTATAAAAAAAAAAAAGCCAGAACAAACTGAACCTAAAATTAGTAGAAGAAAAGAAGTAAGATCACACCAGAAATAAGTGAATCTGAACCTAAGAATACACAAAGGACCCTTGAAACAAAGAGTTGGTTCTCAAAGGCTAAAACAGACCATTGGGTAGACCATGAAATAAAAAAGAAATTAAAAAACAGAGATAAAATAGAGACTGCATTCTAAGTTGTCGCTTGTAATCAATCACCACAGATTATCGTGAACAACTAAGTGATTTAACAACCTGGAAGACACCTGGATGCCAGCGCTACACAGGTCTGAAGTGCCAGGCTACCACCTTTTCTTCCTCACCTATGTGTGTCCCTGTTTCTTATTCTCAGAAAACTCCAGGACTCCTTTAGTCCATTTGATTATAGTGACCACAGTTCCCTTCAAAGCTCTTGTCACAGTTCCTTCCCCTAAGGTAGTCTCTTAGATATTTGGGGCAACCCAGAGATATCCGATCCATATGAAAGGAACTGCTAAATTGAAGAAGCTTCCTAGTGCTTTAAGAAAGCATACTTGGGGAAAAATGGAGGGTTGTGAGCCAAACATCTTTGCCCTCAGCTAAAAGGGTTGTTTCCCCTGACTGTCCTCCTTTTAGCTGCAAGTGCTGTCCCTGACTGAGTTTAGGCTTCCTGTAGTCTATCACTCCAGCACGCCCCTCCAGGCAGACTTTTCAGCCAGCACCAGGGGCAAAGGTGATTCAGTACCACATGTCACACTCTCCCTCTCCATCTGGTGTCTCCGAAAGCCAGCCATCCTCATGGGATCTTTGTTTTGGGTGGGCCAGAGCAGTCTGCAGGGATGCCTGTGTTGTCTTGTGCTAGCTTCCAAGTCACTTCCACGCCCTTTCCTCATCCAAACACCAAACCATTTCATTGTGGATGGGATTCTGCAGTCTCTGGACAGGTTAGATGGTGGGAGTGGCCTGTTGTTCCATAAAGACTGAAGAAAAGGAAGATTGAGGGAGGGATGGTGGGAGCATAGAAGCTCCTTAAGCATGTGTGGGAAGCATCACATAGAAAACTGTCTATTGGATTGGATGGTGAAAGCCAGCATGGCTATGGCAGAGTCCAAAGCAGAGACTGGCATTGTCCTGGCATCATTTTCTCTTCAACCTTCATGAGAGTGTGTATTCTATAGGTGTGTGAATACAACACACACGATTTGGGGATGGGGCTAAAGAGCAGCAGCAAGAGCTCATGATACCCCTCGGAAACCGAGAGGAGCAATTAGTCTACCTATAGATGTTTCAGAGAAAGATGGAGGCTGTTGATTTAGTCACCAAAGCTGGCTTTGACATACTAACATTTTGTGGGCTTCTCTTACTTCTAAAGATAGTGGATTGTGGATGAAAAAGTCCTAAAATGCACCGAAGGAGATTGCTCTGCTTAGGAAATTTTCTGCTTAGGCATGGCTTTCTTGGGTGCTAGGGATTAAACCCAGAGTCACTGAACAATGTCTGTAGCCCCTTAGAAGTGGCCATGCTCTT